CACTTCTTTTAGCCGATTCTTTCGCCCTTTCTTTCTTGAAATTTACAAAATCTTGCAAAAATGCGAGCGAAAATGAAATATATTTGTGATATTTGCAAGAAATTTATCAATCATCAAATCAAGAAATGTTTGTTATTTCGCTGTCGTCATGCAGTCGTTATAATGCAAACTTTAAATTGGACCAATCAGTTTTCGCTATTCATGACAGTCCGCCACATATTTTGAGATCAGTGAGGATGACCACCCACCGAAACATCGTTGGTGAGCCACGCCCGCGATATTTGATGAACTTTAGACTTCGCTAATGCTTTCGTTTCCCCGGGTGTAAATAGCCGGGGGAATTAGTACCCTCGCACGGCGCTTCGCGCCGCCGGCTCGGGGATAAAGTGCTATTAACTCCAGGTTTTGTGTAATATCCATTGATTATGTGCCAACTTAAAACTTTGCATACACGGCTATTAAATCAATGACAAGACTTTTGGAGCATTCAAATATTTCCCAAAATACCTGTAAATAACAAAATATACCCCCCCCCGTAACTAAATGTTGCTGTATGATGAAAAGACGTTACATTGGTCATTAACAACACATTGTTGGGGGGCACAGGGTTGTAGGGATAATATAGAAGCTCAGGTGGCACATAACTCCTATCATAGCCTTAATTAAACAATTTGAAAAACCAGAAATACTGTATCAATGCACTGGGGCCAATCTGGCAATTACTTCTAACTATGTTCTGACAATCCTTGCACTCATAGTCCTTGAAATGATAAGGTAATTTCTACCTTGTATCATGGCCAACGTTTAGGGCCACTTTCAGTGCCTTAGCAAGCTCGATAATTGGGGGAGGCTCATATTCATATATTATATTTGTGTTCTGCGTTATTAATTTCTTTTGAAATTGATTGTTTTTATGGACTGTGAATATGAATATATGAATATGAGGCCCCCCCCCCCCAATTATCGAACTTGCTACGGCACTGACTTTTGATTGTTATACCATTAAGTCTGATAATTGCACCACCAATGGTTCTGATATCTCTTGTTTTTCCCATCATCATTTCTGTACTCAACTTTACAACATATAATATATTCTTGTTTATTCCAGAATTATCTTACAATTGGGACACCATTTATCACACAATTGGGAATTTGTCCTGACTCACCCTGGTTTCCCAATTAAGCCCTAGAGTGACAGCACTCTCCCTTGATGAGTAAATTGTCTGGTGTTACACAGAGTAAAATAATAATGTAGGGCATATCAGGGTGCATTGCCACTTAAAGGGTTAATCTTGATCTGGGTGGCAAAATACTGCAGTACCAAGCAAGATGTATGGAAATTGAAGACACAAAAGCTGGATTAATTTTGAACCATTTTAATTGGACTTCTTCAATGGAATTATTAACAGTGAATAGTTTTAAATTAATTTAAAACTAAAATGTATTATAATTACAGTTAATGTACATGATGTAGTGGATTCCAGCATGTCTATTATATTAACTTAATAAAGCTTTATACTTTCATATGTTATCTGCATGGTGGGGGGTGGGTGGTTGTGCAGAAAAATTCAGGGGGGGGGAAGGTGAGTGAGGGGCATGTAGCCACAGAATAAGGCACACAAAAGGTCGACTCGAGTAACCACTGCCACACCATGATTCATCATCAAAATGCTGACGCCATGGTCCTAGCCAGTGCGCGTTTAAGAGGCATTCCCCCCTGGACGTTCGCCATTTTGAATAATATCAGGGGGTGAATGCCTCTCAAACGCGCACTGACTAGGACCATGGCGTTAGCATTTGATGACGAATTACAGGTTACGCCTAAATCATAGGAAAACCCAAGAAGTCGGCCTTCTGTGTACCTTATTCTGTGACGTAGCATCCTGAGGAAGATTAACCAAAACACAATATACCAGACAAATATAAAAATATTATGTCATTTATAATACAATGTTATGAATTGGATTGATCATGTATTACATATGCACATCAGCCTTTACACATGTAAAAAGAATATATTTGTCTATGTTCGCACAACACCCTTTTCTTTTCACAGTTAGGAAATATGACTGCCAAAGCTCTTGAAAGGTGGCTTTTTACACTAAGATCATCAGTAACAACATCCTCTTGTTTAAGTCTCAACCCATCTGTTTTGATGCATATAGTCTTTAAAGAGCCCTGAAGATCTCCAGGAACAAATGTGCCAACATCACCTGCACATTCAAACAAGTGACTTATTAAAAATACAAGTTCCAACCTTGAACAACTTTCCTGCATTTAGTTCTTGCCTTCTTGGTAATCCCGGACTCTTAGAATCTGGTGTTAGGTCGTGTTTGACGTCAAATGGCAGTGACTTTCTCGCTTTAGGAGTTCTAGGAGTGCTGGTCTTAGGACATTCATCTGAATTTATGGAATTGAAGTCTATAGTTCAGAACGACAAAAATTACAACTTGAAACAAACAAGGCAACATGGCGCTAATCAGCCGAGCGTATAATGAATTCCAGTTTCTTAGTTTCTTTAGTATACGCAAATTTATGCTACGGCTCAAAGGGTCAACAAATTCAAGACATTCAAGTGGTAGAATGTATTATATTATCTTTTAGACTTACCATCTATTAAGTTCATCAGAGTCCGCCATTTTGAAGTACTCCAGACTTGACCAATTGACCATTTGCGTAATAGACTAAATTTTGATCTCTACAAAAATTTCATTATAGCTTGAAAGAGCATCACAAAATTAGTAATATTCCAAAGTTTCGTTGCAAAATGTTGTAAAATGCGGAAAATATAGCCTTGCGAAATTTGCAATTTTCAGTCATTTTAGATTACAAACCGGAAATTGACAGCCTCGAAGGGTTTGATATTTTCCGCATTTTACAACATTTTGCAACGAAACTTTGGAATATTACTAATTTTGTGATGCTCCTTCAAGCTGTGATGAATTTTTTGTCTAGACATGTTTAGTTCAAAATTTAGTCTATTACGCAAATGGTCAATTGAAGGCCGATATACTTGATAAAAATACGCACTTTGCAGAAACTACATCATAAAATGATCGATTTATGTATACCAATGTCAAAAAATCCAAAATTGAAACATAAAATATTAGTTTGCGAGAAAAACAATTTCTTGCAAGAAAAATCACAGTAATCTGCCAGTCGCTAAATTTTCTTCTTTCGCCCTTGCCGTGAGCCTCTACGCGCCCACTTCTGGCCGCGCGCCCGCTCTTAAAGCGACTGGGGACGAGTCTGGGAGTGAGATACTGAAAAATATACAGTGAGATGTTTTCCATGTCTTCACCAGTGAAGATATCGATCACGTGACTTTTAGTATTCATACAATTTTTTGCTTGGGACTATATAATAAACAGAACATTACACGGCGGCTTGAAGATATGACTTTTATCTTCTCGTGTTGAAAACAATATTTTACTCATTCATTGCGGTGGTGCGTAAAATATTGTTTTCACAACTCGAAGATAAAATTCATATCTTCGCGCCGCCGTGTAATATCCTCTCTGATAGGGTGTATCAAAAAAAGGTAATCGAACTTCAGCGCGCCATTGTACGTAAATTACTCGGCGTATGAACAATTCCTGTTTCATTGACCAATCAGATTGCTCAAAAATAAAATATAAAATTTGATTGGTCAATGAAACGGGAAGTTAGGAACTTTTTAAGGAACTTATCAAATTGTTGAGGAATTGTTCAGAGGAACTCCTCGAAGTTAGGAAATGAACTGGTCAACATTTTTCGGAACGCTTCTATTGGCACGACTGTAATAATAATTAAGAATACGTGCGTAGTTTATTGAAGTGACATTCGTCAACCTAAGTGCCAAAGGGGGTTAATTTTCAATGGTTTTACAACCAACTGTCAACTGTGAAAATATGCGATTCTGACTAGCATTTTTTATCGGATTCGTATTTGCTCATTTTTTATCCATTTGGCATGAAGAAGATATTCAACAGCTAAAAGCATGATCTGTCCGATTACGAAAAAGTGTCCTTCATACGCAGAGTAATTCAGATCACAACAGTGCGCTGAAGTTTGATTACCTTTTTTTATACACCCTATATAATCTAATTATAGTAATAAAATTTATACTTCTGCGACTAAACATGCATGAGTTTGAGTGCGTTTTTCTGTACTTTGAACTCGAGTGATAATTCGACATTACTATTGTAGGAAAGTACATATAAAATTCAACAATATATGAAAGTTAGAAAAAATCGGACAGAATAGAGGCTGAGAAGGTTTATCATGCACGGCAACACGGATAACGTTCTAATCTAATTTATATTTCCGCGACTAAAGTTGCATGAGTTTGAGTGCATTTTTCTGTACTTTAACCTCAAGTGCATAACTTGAGTCAAGTATGGTATGAAAGGACATATAAAGTTGAACAATATACGGAAGTTTGAAAAAATTGGACAGAATAGAAGCTGAGTTACTAGAAGTTTTATCACGGCACACTAGCTGATAACGTTCTAATCTAATTTATGTTTCCGCGATTAAAGTTGCATGAGTTTGAGTGCGTTTTTCTGTACTTTAAACTCAAGTGCATAATTTGAATGAAGTAGCATAGGAAAGTACGTATAAAATTGTACTATATGTGGAAGTTTGAAAAAATCGGACAGAATAGAGGCTGAGTTATGAGAATGTTTATCACGGCAACACCGATAACGTTCTAATCTAATTTATATTTCCGCGACTAAAGTTGCATGAGTTTGAGTGCGTTTTTCTGTACTTTAAGTTCAAGTACATAATTTGAGTGAAGCATCGTAGAAGAGAACATATAAAGTTGTACAATATATGGAAGTTTGAAAAAATCGGACAGAATAGAAGCTGAGTTATGAGAAGTTTTATCACGGCACACTGATAACGTTCTAATCTAATTTATATTTCCGCGACTAAAGTTGCATGAGTTTGAGTGCGTTTTTCTGTACTTTAAACTCAAGTGCATAATTTGAATGAAATATCGTAGGAAAGTACATATAAAGTTGTACAATATATGGAAGTTTGAAAAAATCGGACAGAATAGGTGCTGAGTTGTGAGAAGTTTTAAAACGGCAACCCTGATAACGCACTATATTATAATCAAATTATGGTAATAAAATTTATATTTCCGCGACTAAAGTTGCATGAGTTTGAGTGCGTTTTTCGAAACCTTCAACTCAAGTGCATAAGTTGAGTGAAGTATCATAGGAAAGTACGTATAAATTGTACAATATGTGGAAGTTTCAAAAAATCGGACAGAATAGAGGCTGAGTTATGAGAAGGTTTATCACGGCAACACGGATAACGTTCCAATCTAATTTATATTTCCGCGACTAAAGTTGCATGAGTTTGAGTGCGTTTTTCTGTACTTTAAACTTAAGCGCATGATTTGAATGAAATACCCTGGGAAAGTACATATAAAGTTGTACAAGATATGGAAGTTTGAAAAAATCGGACATAATAGGGGCGGAGTTATGAGAAGTTTTAAAACGACAACCCGGATAGCGCACTATCAATCTAATTATAGTAATAAAATTTATATTTCCGCGACTAAACTTGCATGAGTTTGAGTGCGTTTTTCTGTACTTTCAACTCAAGTGCATAATTTGAGTGAAGTAGCATAGGAAAGTACATATATCGTGGTACAATATATTTAAGTTTGTAAAAATCGGACAGAATAGAGGCTGAGTTATGAGATGTTTTAAAACGGCAACCCTGATAACGCACTATATAATCTAATTATAGTAATAAAATTTATATTTCCGCGTCTAAAGTTGCATGAGTTTGAGTGCGTTTTTCTGTACTTTAAACTCAAGTGCACAATTTGAATGAAGTAGCATAGGAAAGTACGTATAAAATTGTACTATATGTCGAAGATTGAAAAAATCGGACGGAATTGAGGCGGAGTTATGAGAAGGTTTATCACGGCAACCCTGATAACGCAATATATAATCTAATTATAGTAATAAAATTTATAT